TATTATCCTAACCACTATCCTAATTCACAAAAAGGGTAGCAATGACGATCCAGCAAACTTCAGGCCAATCACTCTTGAGCCAGTGCCTTTGAAAATCTTCACATCATGCCTGCGTGACAGTCTATTTAATTTTCTTAAAGTTAATGGTCTCATTGAGCACGAAATACAAAAAGGCTTCACCTCGAATATTTCAGGGACCTTAGAGCATACTGCCATGATGGCTCAGGTCATAAACAAAGCTCGTATCAAGCAACGTTCACTAGTTGTCACTCTTCTCGATCTTAAAAATGCATTTGGAGAAGTACATCATAATTTGATACCCACTGTACTATCTTACCATCATATCCCTGACAACATACAACTTCTTATCTCTAGCCTTTACACCGATTTTAAAACCTCTATCATCACAAGCCACTATAATACTCCTGCTATTCCAGTCCGTCGCGGTGTTCTTCAAGGCGACTGCCTCAGTCCTCTACTATTTAATCTATGCTTCAACACATTCATACAGTACATAAAAGCTGAAAAATACAAACAGTTAGGTTTCTCCCCACATGATCAGAACGACCGTATGTTTCAACCAGTCCATTGGTTTCAATTCGCAGACGATGCTGCCGTTATCACCAGCAATGAGAAAGAAAACCAACTTCTACTGAATTGTTTCACTCGCTGGTGCCAATGGGCTAACATGATCATACGTGTCGATAAATGCATCACTTTTGGAATAAAGAAATTTTCCACACGTTCTCTTCAGTATCAACCTAAGCTTTTCATAAACAACGAATCTATCCCACCTGTCTCGAATGGAAATTCTTTTAAGTACCTCGGTCGTCATTTTGACTTTGAAATGACAAACCAAGAACATAAATCTGATCTTTTATCATCACTGTCCAACATGCTCAAACAAATTGATTCCCAGCCTCTACATGCAAAAAATAAGTTGCTTCTTTATCACAACTTTGTTCTTTCTAAAATCTCTTGGAACCTTACTGTAGCAGATCTTTCAAAGACGTGGGTTGTCGAGAATCTTGACAACCTTGTATCCAAATACATCCGCCAGTGGCTCGACCTCCCAATAAGTGCTACCTTGAGTAGCATTATTCTTTCTAAAAACCAGTTTGGACTCAGCCTAACTTTACCATCCGCCAAATTCCTACAGTGTCAAACTATTTTACGCAACGCATTGAAATCTTCACCAAACGATAACATTCGCTCTTTATGGAAAAATACCAGCAGTAGCACAAATATACAATATGATATATATAGGAACACGAAAGAAGCATTAAAGGCTGTCCAGCAAGAACATAAAGATCGTCTGCAAAACATTCTAACTTCCCAAGGATCTTTATTGTCACATCTTTTTAACCAGGATCTTCCACAAATAAACAAACTTTGGTCCAAGGTGCAAAGTAGCATGCCTCAGAATATTTTCAATTTCACCATAAGGTACCTGAACAATACCCTTGCTACACAGAAAAACTTGAAAAAGTGGAACTTGAGCCAGACTTCTGATTGTTCTTTCTGTTTTCTGCCAGAAACCCTCCTTCACGTTGTTGCTGGCTGCAAAACATACTTGGAACAAGGCCGATACACCTGGCGTCATAACTCTATCTTAAACTTTCTAGCTACGTCTCTTAAAGCTGTTAATGAATCTACCATCTACGCTGATATACCTGGCTATCTTTCACCATCAATCATAACTGTAGAAAACCTTCGCCCAGATCTTCTCTTGAAGACTAACAACAATTACCTATACATCTTAGAGCTTACTGTTGGTTTTGAATCCAATCTTGACACAAATGCAACAAGAAAACACAGCAAGTATGCTCCTCTCCTATCTGACTTACAGCGAAAGTTCAAATGTGTCTCTTTTGTGAATCTTTCTATGAGCTCTCTTGGCATCTTTGGCAATTCCTGCATCTCTTTCTTCAAAATGTGTGACTCTCTCTCCATCGATCAACAACAAAAACGGTATCTCATCTCTAAACTTTCCAACATTGCCATTCGTACTACGTACTACATATTTTGTTGCAAAAATAAACCATGGACAAATCCGGAATTACATCCGTTTTAATTTTGGTTGTTTTATTTTTCTCAGTTTTTCCTTTTACCTTACGATTGTTATAGTTTTTTCTTGTAAAACCAGGCTAGCCAATTGCAAATTACCTTGTAATAGTGAGATTTGTAATTGTAGTTTAAGTTGAATTGAAAATGAAATGTTTCCATTATTATTATTATTATTATTATTATTATTATTATTATTATTATTATTATTATTATTATTATTATTATTATTATTATTCCTGCTAACATAAAGAGCGAAACCAAGAGATTCGCTCTTTATGGAAAGACTCTAGCACTGGTACAAACATACAATATGACGTTTATCCCAACACCAAACAAGTTCTCAAATCCATCCAAAGTGAACACGAAAACCGCATTGAAAACGTTCTTACATCTCAAGGATTTATTATCTCGTGCATCTTAAAATTTGCTTCTAAGGGAACTAATCAATTTTGGTCTAGTGTCCAGCAAAAGTTACCAAAAAACATTTACAACTTTACCATCAAATACCTAAACAACACTCTTGCCACTAGGAAAAACCTCTGCAAATGGTCAATTACTCAGTCATCTGCCTGCTCTTTCTGTCTCCAACCAGAATCATTACAGCACATAGTCTCTAGCTGCAAGAATTATCTTGCATATGGTAGGTATACCTGGAGACATGATTCTGTACTTCTATATTTGGCTAAAACCCTTTCAACACCTAGAAACAGCTCACTTTACGCCGACCTGCCTTCATTTCTATCACCTTCTTTAATCACAGGCGACTCCTATCGACCAGATCTTGTCTTCGTAACTGAAGATCGAATCCTTTACATGCTAGAGCTTACTGTTGGGTTCGAAAGCAACATCGACGAAAACAGTACTTGAAAAGCTAGGAAATATAGCGACCTTATCAAGGAACTGAGCCCTGCCTATAAACGTGCTACCTTTGTTAACCTTTCTATGAGTGCCCTTGGCATTCTGGGAACCTCATCTACCTCTCTCTCCGACATGCTACATCAACTCAATTTTGACTCAAATCAAACTAAATCCATCTTGATGAAACTCATGAACATTTCTATCCGCTGCACCTACTATATCTTCTGTCGTCGAAACAAACTATGGCTAAGCCCCGAACTAATTGACTTTTAAATATTGTAATGCAGATAAGCCAATTATATGATGCCTGTAAAAGCGAGTCGTATAATTGTAAATTTAAATGTATTCAATGAAAATGAGATGTTTAAAAAAAATTATTATTATAAACAAACTTTGGTCCAAGGTGCAAAGTAGCATGCCTCAGAATATTTTCAATTTCACCATAAGGTACCTGAACAATACCCTTGCCACACAGAAAAACCTGAAAAAATGGAACTTGAGCCAGACCTCTGACTGTTCTTTCTGTTTTTTGCCAGAAACCCTTCTTCACGTTGTTGCTGGCTGCAAAAAATATCTAGAACAAGGCCGATACACCTGGCGACATAACTCTATCCTAAACTTTCTAGCTACGTCACTAAAAGCTGTCAATGAATCTACCATCTACGCTGATATACCTGGCTTTCTTTCACCATCAATCATAACTGGAGAAAACCTTCGCCCTGATCTTCTCTTGAGGACTAACAACAATTACCTCTACATTTTAGAGCTAACTGTTGGCTTCGAATCCAATCTTGAGACAAATGCTACAAGAAAACACAGCAAGTATGCTCCTCTTTTATCTGGTTTACAGCGGCAGTTCAAATGTGTCTCCTTTGTTAATCTTTCTATGAGCTCTCTTGGCATCTTCGGCAATTCCTGCAATTCATTCTTCAAAATGTGTGACTCTCTCTCCATCGATCAGCAACAAAAACAGTATCTCATTTCTAAACTTTCCAACATTGCCATCCGTACTACGTACTACATATTTTGTTGCAAAAATAAGCCATGGACAAATCCGGAATTACATCCTTTTTAACTTTAGTTGTTTTATTTTATTTTTCTCAGTTTTTCCTTTTACCTTACGATTGTTATAGTTTTTTCTTGTAAAACCAGGCTAGCCAATTGCAAATTACCTTGTAATAGTGAGATTTGTAATTGTAGTTTAAGTTGAATTGAAAATGAAATGCTTCCATTGTTATTATTATTATTATTATTATTATTATTATTATTATTATTATTATTATTATTATTATATTATTATTATTATTAAAAATTATTATTATTATTATATTTATTATTATTTATTATTATTATTATTATTATTATTATTATCATAATCATTATTATTATTCCAGACCACTACAATATGACAAATCGTTGAAACATATAGATCTGGCTCAACCTCGAGACTCGTGTAAACAGGTTCTTTTACGCGGGTTTTACTCTATTCAGTTCTGTTCCATTTCATTCTTGGACCTAATCTTAATCTGCCTCAACCAAAGTGCAACTAGCTTTTCTGTCTGGAAAAGAATCATTATTAATGAGTTACCGGTCTGCATTCATAAACCCATCACCAGAAAAGAAGGCAAGTAAAAAAACTTCCTGTTCTTGAAATTCTCCTTGGTTATAGAAGTGTATTTATCAACTTGCAGTATCTATTAATGTCTAAAAGAAGATTCACAGCACCATAAACAGGGACGGATTTACAGGAGGATGCGGGGGATGCGACAACCCCTCAAGATTGTGCTTTGGCAAACTTGCTTTGATTTGGTAAAGCTATTTTGGTGGTCAGTAGTAACAAAATGATGCAGAAATTTTCTTTATGTATCTTCTTATCTTTTCTGCCTTGAGGTTAAAAGTTTATTATTTTAAAATGGGCGTTTTCATCATTTTCCAGTCACCTGAAGGGTGTGGCACCAAAATCCAATCATCATATAACACCCCCCCTTCCAAATCCCTGCGGTTTGAATCCGTCCCTGACCATGCAATGATAAAATTTACAGCTATTTTAACATAAACAGGAATATTTTCAAAGCTTATCGTGTGCAGACAACACAAGTAAGCTCTTGTCCGCTAATATACGGGTTCTTAGTTCCCTGAACCAAATACCACAAACTGCCACCACTGTCAGCACTGGTTTCAGGCAATGGTTCTGCTTTTTCGTCGACGCAAACTGCAGCGGTACGGCCTTTGCTCGCGTAAGACTCACTTAGCAGGTATCCTTTATATTCCATTGTCCAGCCGGATGGACAAATGTTTCGACCGGGTATCATTACTTTGGTACCGCGAGTCTCCAGGAGACAAACTGCGCAAGGAGCATCATGGTGATGTAATGGCTGTTCAAAAGGACTGAATGCACTGACCTTGTATTCAATATTATAAATCCATTGTGAGGTATCTATAGAATCCGAGTAACTTGCGTATTCTGGATTTGGGTGCAGACATAATGTATTTGATATCCCTCCTGTATGTGTAAAGTGCTGACCAGCTGATATACCTGCAAAAGATATTTTCTCCAATGAAAGTTGCTTTGTTATTGAAGGGCGGGACAACATATTTCAATGAAGGCCTTCGAGGCTTTAATTTTGGAGCGGCTGGTTGAATTTCTTTGGTAAACAAGAATCTCATAAAAAGTAACGTACCAATCTGCAGTGTACAGATCTACGTTTACCGTGATGATGTGCGAGAACTGGACTTAGTTATTGAATCACTGGTCATAAGAAAATGGGAGGAAAAGCGAGGTTGATGCGCTACACCATCTGAAGATGATGATGATGATGATGATGATGATGATGATGATGATGATGATGATGATGATGATGATGATGATGATGATGATGATGATGATGATGATGATGATGATGATGATGATGATGAGATGATGATGATGATGATGATGATGATGATGATGATGATGATGATGATGATGATGATGATGACGATGATGATGATGATGACGATGATGATGATGATGATG